ATATATGTATTTGTCTTTTCTAAAAGTTGATTGAAATAAATTCTGCACCAGAATGCAGATAATTTTTGACTCACCTTCATCCTTTCCAGTGACTGATATGAGTAGGCTCAAAATGGAGCTGAGACAGGCCTTGGAATGCACTTGGAAATTCCTTGCAGCTTTTCAGAAGTTCAGCTGGGATTTTGCTCCAAGTCATTCCTCTTTTCTCTATACTACCTTTAGAATGTTGTTTAAAACTATCACTTTAAAAAATAATTCATTAGAAAAAACAGAATTTTTATCTTATAAAAAATTATATTTTTACAGTCAATTTTGTTCATTGTGTCCTTCTTTAGATATTCTCCTGTTATAAAGTATAAGGGGAAATTATAAGGACAGAAAAATATCTCATATGTGTTCAATGGTAGAATACTCACCGATCATGTGGGAGACCTAGGGTCAGTTCCCATGCAGTGTATGTCAGTCACCACCTGTCTGTCAGTGGAGTCTTGCATATTGCTGTGATGCCGAACAGCTTTCAGGGAAGTTTCTAGACTAAGATAAACTAGGAAGGAAGAATGGGTAGTCTATTTCCAAACTCCTAGCCAATGAAAACCTTATGGATTATAACAGTTTAATCCGTTTGTACATACAGTCTCCATGAGTCAGGGGCCTACACAATGTCTTCTAACAAAAGCACAATGTGTTTGTACATATCTAAAGATATCTTACAAGATAGTCAGTAATTATCTGCCCCAATGCAAGGAATATGGTACATTCAATAAGCAATAACTATTGTTACCTATGGAGTGTTCATGTGCTGCTATAGGATAAGTACTAGATTGGTAACTACAAGGTTGGTGGTTCAAACTAACCAGCCACTCCTAGGAAACCCTCTACAGGGTCTCTATAAGTCAAAACCAACTTGACAGCACTGAAGAACTACAATAACATTGTTGTCTATATCATCTCATTTAATATTCATAGCATAATAAAAAAATGTATTTGTAAAAGAAGAGATTGAGACGCAGAGGCCAAACATTTTGCCTGGAGTCATGAAACTAGATTAAAACCCAGCAATACCTAATTTCAAAGGACATATTTATTACATTAATTATTCCTACCTCTGGCCACTTATAGAGTTCTCCCATTCTCCCTTGTTTTGAACTCTCCCCTTTCATCATCCTGACTCCTCAAAGTTCTTCCCTCCAGCACTAGACACACTTTGGCTTCCATCTTATAGTTCTTCCATTGCAATCATTAAAATACACTTTAAAATTAATTACTAGACCCTTGTGTCAAATAACAGAGTGAGTGACTAGCATATAAGTTTTTGATAGAGATTCATTATTTTAATATTTCTCTATTTGGTATAATGATTTCAAACTCATAAATTCAATACATGTCAGAAGATAATGAAGACTTGGCTTATGGCTATGGGTAAAAATGATTATAAGTAAAATTAAATGAGTTATTTTTTTATTCTGTTTATATAAAAGCAGAATTGTCTTAATTGTCTGTTGTTGTTGTTGTTGTTAAGTGCCATTGAGTCAGCTCTGTCTCTGTATATGTTTTCCTAGGAGCAGTTGGTGGGTTTGAAGTATAGACTTTATGGTACCCAATCCAGTGCTAATCCCACAATGCCACACCAGAAGCCATGGTTATGATTTACAGCACATATTTTCACAGGACACAATCAATCAATAACAAGAACTCATATTCAATTATGATCTTCTCAGAGAATATAATAATCTATGTACTTTTCTTATTTATCCTCTAGTCATTGCACAGTAAGAAAATATTACTTTAAATAAACATAATATTAAGGATGCAATGAAGTAATTAAAATAAAATTTATATGTATCATCTGTGATAATTAGAGAAATAACTTATACATAATTGTTGTGTGCCATTGAATCAGTTCATACTCATAGTGACCCTCTATAGCATTTCTGAAACTAAATCTTTATGGGAATAGAAAGCCTTATTTTTCTCCTGAAGAGCAACTGGTGGATTTAAACTGCTGACCTTTGGGTTAGCAGCTCAATGCATAACCCACTACACCATCAGGAATCCTTTTGGTATAATAGAGCACAGAAAAAAATATATATATTCATGAAGTAATATGAACTTGGAAGTTCAAATGTTTATATTTTTACTAGGAAGACAATTAAGTCCTAAAGTCATTACATTCAGTATGCTAAATACCTGGGAGACTCAGTTTTGTCTGGAAGTGTTTTCTCCATCTAACTGATACAAAAAATGAGAAAACAAATGTTGAATTTTGGGTATTTGGTGGATGTTTTTTTCAGCTATAATTTATTAGTGCTTCCTATGTACGAGGCTTTGTAGAAAGGTTTATATTTATTACCTTACTTATTCTTGCCTACAGTGCTAAAAGGTAAGTATTATTATTACCATTATGCAAATGAGAAAATAATTCAGCTGAAAACAGATTAGTCTAAATATAAATCATTGATATTTTTCTTACAAATTTGAATCTTTAGGACTTATTTAGATGGTTCACAAAGTCCCTAAGTCAGACTTTTTTCAAAGGTCCTAATGCTTAGAATTATTCCTTCACAGGTAGTAACACTTTGAGGGTCCATTTCTCAATTTTATCTCTAAAACATATGAGTTTATCTTTGTGGACAGAGTAGTTGGAAGAAAACCAGAGATAGTTAAGATAGATCAAAATAGTAACTGTAGAGAGAAACTCTGAAGTCCTGGAAAGATTTCCAGGCAGCAATTGGGTCGAGTTGTGGTCAAAGAACACGAATTATAGAGGCAGGATTTTTAAGACAGCCCTTGAAATTTCCTTATTATTCCAGGAGAACTCAGTGAATGAGAAGGAATAATGTAATCATTAGTACTACAAACAAAAAATAATCTTCTGTCTGGAATGCAAGTGAGATTGTTGTTGTTAAGTGCCATCGAGTCGATTCCAACCCATAGTGATCCTGTATAGGGTTTCCAAGGAGCAGCTGGTAAGCTTGAACTGCCAATGTTGCAGTTCAATCCAACTTTGCAGTTCAGCACATTAACCCACAGCACCACACCAGTAGTTAGAGGGCTTAAAGTGCCAACTTTTCAGTGAGCAGCTCAACATTCAACCCACTATACCACCAGAGCTCCTTAGGACACGAATGAAGTCCCCCAGGAGATATCCAGTTGGAATTATTTCCTCTACTTTTTTGCATTTACAGAAAATCTCTTCTTTACAACTTGACGGTAAAAATCAAGTAAGTTTATAGCAGCATGTGAAATTCCTTTTTTAAATGTGTTCCAAAGTGTTTTCCAACCATGTTAGATTTGCACACACAGCTATTCCCAACTTTCATGATGGAAAACTGATTTCTTTATAGTACTACATCTTTCTGTTTCTACAAAGATATTATTATTAAAGTCTTGGAAACCCCTATACAAGGTCATCATGAATCAGAACTAACTTAAGATTACTTAACAACAATAACACATTTGAAGTTTCTGTGCCACTGTATGTGCCTGGTGATAAGCCTATCGCTTACATCCTGGATATTGTAAAACACAGCTAAACAGTACTAGAACTATTTTTAAAAATAGTTACATGTCTAGTAAGTAAAAAAGCAATACATAAAATTATTTTTGTAATATAATTACAATGCAGATTCTTAAAAACTGATTATATAGAGAAAACAAAAAGAGGATGAAAGAGTCAACTGTAATTATCTCCCAGTGGAGGAAATTTTATTTTTCTTTTTTTGTTGTTGTTTTTGCTACATCCATATTTTATATAATAAGCATGTATTTTCATAATTAAAATTAAGCAATTCTAAATAAATAATAGAAACTATAGACTAACTTCTTCACATGTAGACAGAAATATTTTTGTATGAATTTAAATAATACAAGAAATCATGGAAATTAGTTTGTCTTTCCTCATTAGCTTTAAACACAGAAGGATAATATTCAAGTTCCAGTGTTGCAAAAGAAATTCAAAGGCAGTTAAAAGGTGAAGAGTATTTTTAATTCCTTCCTAAGGAGTAATTTGTAATCTTGTTTAATTTGGGGTGGACAATTTTTAGTAGAATCAGAGTAAGTTCTTACCTTCTTGGGGAAATATTTTGTCACTATTTTGTATTATATTAGAAGAATCTCTAGCTTACATTTTGTATTATATTAGAAGAATCTCTAGCTTATCAGAATGAGAATCAGAAAAAAATGTTCTAACAGCGTTAACCAATTCATTCTAAGATACAATACTCACATTTTGGCAACTAAACAATTTTTATTAAAAGTTATATTCAAAATTAAGGTGCATTTATGCATATAATACTTATATTTCATTCTTCTCTCCCTTTTCAGGTGGTATACAATGAAGTCACAGAGCTCCAAGGACATGTCTTAATGCTTACTGTTAAGAGCAAAAGCACATTTGTGGGAGCAATTAACATTCAACTTGGTAGTATTCCTCTCAATGAAGAAAAATGGTATCTACTAGGAAACAGTATAATTTCACCATTGATATAAACATACACATTATTCATTAACTAATTGCAGGGTTTCTCTTCACTTATTGGCCTCTCTATCTCATAAACAAGACATTTTTGCTGTCCTAGATAGCATAATGTACTAAGGATATATGAAAATGAAATTTGAATCAATCATTTATAGTTAGCTATAGTTTACCTGCATTTTCAGCATTTTCTTAGAGTATTTTCTTCTTAAATGAGTGTTAATTAATTGTGTGATATTTAATAGATAAAATAATGAAAGGAATTTAATTTTAATACATTTTAAAATCAAACAAATATATACATTTTAAAAAAATTGTGTGCTTTAGTTAAAAGTAGTACTTTTAATATTATCTCCCAGGAAAGATAAGCAAATAAATAAATCTGATCAATTAATATGAGATCTAAGTATATCTGTAAGAGATTTTTAAAGCTTAAATTAAATACATATGTTGCTGCTAAGTACCCGTTGACTTAGTTCCAACTCATAACGACCCTGTGTAGGGCTTCTGAGGAGCAGCTGATGGGTTTGAACCATTAACCTTGTGGCTAACAGTATAGTGCTTATCCTACAGCACCACACCACACTCCATATACACATATATAATCATTTACAATTCTGCTTTTTGGAGGGAATTGGTGAATTCCAAATTTTCACATAAATCCATGATCCCAAACTCTATTTCTCTCTTCTGATTAAAAACTTCTCATCTTGCATATTAAGTATTTTCCTTACTATTTCTGACCATGCCTTCACATTCATAAAGACTAGAATAAAACAATCCTACAGTTATCTACTACAAAGTAGAAACAACTCAAGACATATGCCATAGTCTTCAAAAGATTCAAACAAAGGATTAAAAAATAAATACCTGCCATTAAATGTAATTAAACTTTGGTTTGGAACCTTGCTTTAACTCAGTATTTTAATACATATTTGTGGTGCCTTGACTTTATTTGGTATGACTTTTCTATCCAAAGTCATCTTAATTCCCACCAAGTGATTGGGTAGGATCATGCAAATAAAGTATACAGGAACCTAACACTGGGGTTGGTTAGTTTTGTCCTCCAACTGGGTTTAAAAGATTCATCTCAGAAGGAGAGACAGAAGATCCCAGGACCATCACAAAGGAAGAGCTTGAGTGAAGTGTGAGATTCATATTTAGAGGAACAATAACTACAGAGGCAACAGCAGAGGCAGTGTTGTGGAGAGAAAGAGTAGCTTCAGGCTTTAGACCCAAAGACTGAATAAAGCTGAGTACCTACAGACAAGAGACTGGTTTGAAGAATGTGCCCTTTGGACTTTCACAGACTCGCTGAAAGAGGTTTGTAACACTTGTTAGAGCAGGGCAGATGCCAAGAGACCACATAGCTGAGAGGCCAAAGACAAGAGTGAGGTGTGCTGCTGTATGGCAGACAAGAGGCGTTCCTGACTGGAGAACTGCTGGGTCCTGAGTTGCGTTTGATCCTGAATTGTAATCTGTTTACTTCCCTAATAAACTCCATAATTGTGAGTATTGTTACGAGTTCTGTGTGGCCATTGCAATGGATTATCGAACCCAGATGTGAAACAGAGAGTGCTGTGGGAGGAATGGCTGGTGTCAGAAAAGGATAAGGAAGGTTGTAAGGTGGAATCATGTCTGACTTCCACTTCATAGGAATTGGCCTTGGGCTGATTTTGAGTTTGGTTATCTTTCCCCCTTGTCAAGCCAGGGAAAGTCAGACAAGACTCCCACATGGTTTTAGTAACATTACTTTTTAAAAATGAGATATTTTATATGCTTGTTCATTAAGATAACCATTGTTGTTGTGAAGTGTTGTCGAGTTGGTTCAAATGCGTAGCGACCCTGTATGGGGTTCCTGAGGAGCAGCTGGTGAGCTTGAACCGCTGATCTTGCAGTTCAAACAGCTTTGCAGTCTGGCGCATTAACCCGCAGCACCACACCAGGACTCCAAGATAACCATTTATTGTTGTTGTTGTTGTTGTTGTTAAAGTGCCATCGAGTCGATTCCAACCCATAGCGACCCTGAACAGGGTTTCCGAGGCTGTAAATCTTTACGGGAGCAGGAAGCCTCATCTTTCTCCCGCAGAGCAGCTGGTAGTTTCGAACTGCTGACCTTGCGGTTCGCAGCCCGATGCGTAATCACTACGCTACCAGAAGATAACCATATAAACCTGTAAATGTCTGTACATTTATTCCTTACAAAGTATTTGAGTGCCTGGTATAGTCTGGTGTGGTTTCATTTGAAAGGCATGGTGATGCAACTCAAGTATGACCTTATGGTGGTGGTGGTTATGTGCCATGGAGTTGGTTCCTACTCATAGCGAACCTGTACAGGGTTTCTGAGGCTGTAAATCTTTATGGGAGCAGAAAGCCTCATCTTTCTCCTGTGGAACGGCTGGTAGTTTCAAACTGCTGACCTTGAGGTTCACAGCCCAATTCGTAACCACTATGCTACCAGAACTTCTGTGTTATTTTTCTATATGTAACTTTTCCTCTCTGCGATGGGAAAAACAGAATCCAAACCCACTGCCATAGAGTCCATTCCAACTCACAGTGACCCCATAGGACAGAATAGAACTGCCTTTTAGATTTTCCAGTGTAAATCTTTATGGAAACAGATTGCCACAGCTTTCTCCTGCAGAGGTGCGTTCAAACTGTGGACCTTTTGGTTAGCAGCAGAGCACTCTAGCCACTGGCCACCTGGGCTCCTTTCCTCTCTGTGGTTGTTGTCAAGTTCTGACTCATAAAGACCCTGTATAGGGTTTCCAAGATGCAGCTGGTAGGTTTGAACTGCCAACCTTGAAGTTAGCAGTCCAGAGCTGATCCTACAACACTGGACAATGACTATATATACATTCTTTCCTCTGTTGAAACGCTAGTATCTCCTTTTTACCTTCACTCCCAGCCAACAATTTTGTTTCCTATTTCATCAAAAAATTGCAGTGAAAAAGAAGCCCTCCACAGACTTCCACTATGACCCACCTGAACAGATGTTGAGTCCACCACACTTTTCACTTCCTACATATTATAAGAGAAGAATTATTAATGTTTCTATCAAAAATCAATCTCTCAATTTGTACATATGGTTGCATCCCTCTCACCTACTCCAAAATATCATTATTGGAATTCTCTTCTATTAAAAATATTGCATCTTTGTTCTCTACAGAATTCTTTAATTCTTTTCAGCTTTGTTGTTGTTGTTAAGTGCTGTCAAGTCAGTCCCTACTCATAGTGAATCTGTATAGGTTTCTGAGAAGTGGCTGGTGAGCCTGAACCACCAACCTTGAAGTTCAAACTGACCTTGCAGTCCTGTGTATGATCCCACATTGCCACACAGGACTTCAGTTATAGCCATGATAAAAAGTTTATATACCATTGTAGAAAACTGCACTTTACCTACTCATTTCTCTCCTCCGTTTTGTAATAAAACTCTTCACAATAGTCTTTCTCCTCTGTCTCCTGTTTATCTCTTGATATATACCCTCAAAATCATTCCAAGCAGACTTTTTCTTCTACCACCTGAACCTAACTCCTTTTGTCAAGGTCACCACTGACTTCCACATAGCTAAGTCCACAAGTCAATTCGGCAATTTTGACACAATAATTCTATCTTCCTCGATATAATTTCTTTATTTTCTAGAATGCCTCACTCAACTCCCAGTCTTCGTTTTGGGAACAACTTCTTCACAACCTCTAATGTTAGTGTGTCTCCGGGCTTTTTCCTTGGTCTTCTTTGCATTAGACCTTCTTCTATTAATAATCTCATCTATCTCATAGATTTAAATATCATCTAAACCAAACCCACTGCCATTGAGTTGATTCTGACCCGTAGCAACCCTATAGGACAAAGTAGGACTGCTCCAGGCTTTTGGGGCTGTGCATCTCTATGAAAGTGGGCAGCTTCATCTTTCTCCCACAGAGTGACTGGTGGGTTCAAACTGCTGAACTTCTAGTTAGTTAGCAGCCCAATATTTAACCCAGTGTGTCACCAGCTCTCCTTAAATATCATCTGTTGTTGCAGTTGTTAAGTGCCATGGAGATGGTACTGAGTCATAGCAAACTTTTATGGGGTTTCTGAGTCTTTTCTATCTTTGTAGAAGCAGAATGCCTCATCGTTCTCCCATGGAGCAGCTGGTGGGCTTGAACCATGGTCATTGTGTTTCACAGTCCAGTGCTTATTGTATGTTAATAATTTCCAGATTCATAATTTCAGCTCAGAATCTCTCCCAAATTTCAAAGTTGAGTAGTTAATTGCCTATTTAGTAGCTCTGCTTGGATGTCTAATAAATATCTTAATCTCAGCTTTCTAAAAGTGAACTTGATCATTTCCCCAAAACCCGTTTCAGCCCATAACCTCCCTATCTCAGTAAATAGCAAACTATCAGCTCTTCAGTTGTTTACAACAGGAATTATGAAAACAAAGTAATCTTTGATTTCTTCCTCAACTCCTTCTTCTCTCAACCCAATTTATCAGAAAATCTTATTGGCTTTATCCACAAAATATATCCTGAATCCAACCACTTTACTCTACCTCTACTGATCTCTGGTTTAAGAGATCACTTGTCTCCTGGATTACTGAAATTGCTTACTAAAAGTTCCACTTTTATAGTCTATTCTCAACACACCAACTGAAGTTGTCCTTATGATCTGTTCTACTTACTTATGGTCTGTTCTCAAAAAACTTACCGAAGTGGTTCTTTTTCTGTCTAAATTTGATCATGTCATTCTTCAGCTCAAAATACTGTTGTTGTTGTTGTTGTTGTTGTTGTTATTGTTGTTAAGTACTGACAACTCAGTTCTGACTCATAAAGACTCTGTATAGGACTTCTAAGGAATAGCTGGTGGGTTTGAATCACAGGCCTTGCAGTTAGCAATCCATTGCTTTTTCTACAGTACCACACCAGGTTTTCAAAATACTGTGGCAGCCTCTAATCTCAGTAAAATCCCAAGCCTGTAAAATGACCTAAAAGTTCCCAAATAATCTAGCCTGTCACTAGTCTTTTTCTGACTT